GCGATTCTTTCTATGACCTACCGCGGTCGAATCAGATCTCCCTGCAGCTGAAGGAGTGCACAGTGGAAATGTTCGCCGCTCGCAGTGTGCGTCGACGCTGCGATCTGCTCTACGCTATGCCTATTCCCACAGTTCATCGCCGACGGACGAACGACTCTAAAAGAAATCGCCGAAGTTCTCGCTATGCACTGGACATCAGGGTCATGAATTTCATTCCGCGATAGCATCGATAAAAGGTGCCGTTTTCACGGGACGACTGACAGTCAGTGACGGAGGCTCCGTGATCGAATTTGGCTACGCAGTCGTACTCGTAGCCTCTGTACCCCGCAGAAAAGCGCGCTTGACGAGGCAGCTGTGGCTTGGTTTAATCTGAAATAAAATGTTTGGACACTTTTTCTTTTTCAATATTTCTTTCCAGGAGCATGGTTGCGCTATAAGCACGCGGAATTCTACGGCTCTAGCAAATTTAACCAAGATCACGCGCGGTGTTCACTCGAAAACCTAACGCACAACTAAATTCGGTCCGAGCAGGTCATTTTTAGCGTACGCTATACTACTGCGTATTGCGTACGCAAGAGCCAGCAACGCTATACTAAAACTGCCTATTAGACAGTATTGAATTGCTGATAATATGTTTTGTATACTTATGCCACCTTTAATTCCACACACATGTTAAAGCCACTCAAAGGTGGTGAACAATATTTCAAAATAAAATAAAACCGGAAAATTCCATCCTCTCAGTGCTGAATTGACACTGACAGCTCGTAGCGTCAGCTTGATACATCCCGGCTATCTCGGCCATTCGGTTGCCCAATCTTTTTCGTCGGTTCGCAGACTGCACGTGCTGATTTCACCTCTTGACACGAGTGCGAAGACTATAGGTACTCGAGTCTTTGTTTCACCGTAAGTTCGAGGGAAGCCGAAGACACGAGGGCATTGTTCCTATAAACTATGGCCTGAATCGACGTCAAACCAGCTGCCATTGTGGTGGACTTGCTTCTGAGCACGTATCCCTTTGCCGCATAAATTTTGTACCATCGAATTTTTTTTTCTTGGCAGGAACAAAATAACCACAGGCAAGGTGCCGTGACGTTACATGCAAACCATATATAGCGCCAACTCGGCCGAACCTGCGTCTTCTTGCTTTTCGGGACGCGACGCCGTAGAGTCAGAGCTGAGTAGGAATACCGCATTCACGGTTGTCACGGGATCACCATTAACGGCCACCATAGTTCATGCAACGAATGAAAAAAAAACAAAAAAAAAACTGGGTGTTTCGACACAAATACCGGGTGTCCCCAACAATTTAGAGCTTTTTTTTTTTTTTTTTTTTTTTTATTGAGATAAATGTTAGTTTCTAAACTCTGGCATGGGTGGTTCGGAACGTTATCACTACATCTGGGCGAAAAATAAGCGTTTGGCTATGCCTAATAATTATTTTTTCGGCAAAAACAAAAAGAAACGACCTTGTAAATTTTGGGGAAAAACGCAGCATGACCTGAACTCTCATGCTGAGATATGCCACAGCAAATTTTTTTTTTTTTTTTTTTTTTTTTTTTTAAGCATAATGATGGCCAGAAAAGGATCGAGATGTGAAGTGGCCGATAGAAGCCACGGAAGCCAAATCAGCGCTGTGAGCTAAAGTCCATGGATAAAATTCACGCTTGGCGTTTGTTATAATTACCGAAAAACCACTGTTGATGAACACGAGAGACGTACCACGGGACCACGAGCGAGAGCCGCACCGCAGTTTTCTTTAAGGGGCCGCTCCATAGTCGCTCATTTTAGTGCCGCGCCGCCATTTACTTCCAAGTGTCGCTCGTGAATTGGCGTATTTGATGATTTGATGCCGCTTGCAAGACAAACAAATGCATCAAGGGGCTTTACTGAGGGCGTGCGACTCTTCGGTGTGACCTGGGGAATCGCGGAGTGCAAGGTTACGTGTCACGTTCTTACCGCCGGATTGGCTGCATAGGTCGTGGCATCGGCCTCGGTCACCCTAAAATTTAAAGTGAAAGCGCGTCGCGCGGCGGCGTGGCACAGCACGTTGCCATGGCATCAATTATGCCATACATGCGTTGCTTTCATTTCTTACTGATCCTATTTTTCGTGTCGTGTAGCAGCAGACAGTAATCCCACATAGGCCATTCTCCGGCAAAACATCAGAACTAGAGCCACTAAATAAGCTACGCTTCAGAGAAACGACACTTACCTATCATGTGGCTTAAGATCATGGTTGCCAGATATCTGAAGCTTTATCTGAAATCACAAGAAACGCTTTTCCGTTTTGCACAAAAATTTCAACAGTTCGCGACAGAGCAAAGCAATATTCCATGAGCTTCCTAACACCCAATCGAATGCTGACGAAGTCGCACTTTTGAATCATGACGATCGGCAATTGCGGCTGCTCTGCACAAGCACCAAAATGCGGCAACCACAACAATATCGGGGAACAAAGTGCCGATACTTTATACTCCGTTCACCCTAAAGCTGAGACTAGAAGCTCCGCCTTCAGCGCAAGCTCGCTGGCTTCCGCAATTGCTTTGGTTGCGCGTGCCTGCGCGTTCACACTTGTATAGACCCTTTCCGGAATTCAGTGCCATCTGGAGACTCAAATGGCAGTTTAACTTTTACCGTACTAATGGCGGCAATGAACCTGTGTTCTGCAGTATTTAATGAGGCACCATAACTTTTGCAAGTCAAGGGTAAACGAGAATGTGTGGTTCACTGTACACTTCTTTTTCACTATCACTCAGGGTCGATGGCGAGAAAGATGCAATCAGTCAGAACGAAGCGCCAACCCTCATAGACGTCTTGTTCAAGTTCTATACATCAAGAGGCTTTGAGGCCGAGTGTGTGCTATTAACAGATTGACTGGGCCCGAGTTAGAAATAAACGCTTACTCAGATCTTGCATCCAGTTCCTGCTTCACGTAGCGTTAATGTGGGGAAAGTATAGGCCTGGCATGATCTGCTTAGGAGCATATTCAACTTCTTCCTCCATCAGTAAACAGAAGGCTGCCATTAGTATGGTACAAATGCCATTTTTTTCAGATGATGATAGTGATCAAAGAGGCCAGACTGAATTCCGGAAAGGGTCTATTAACAAGGGCAGAAAGCTCGCGCTGAAGGCGGGTATAAGCGTAGCTCATTTCGTGGCTCTCGTTAGAACTGATCTCGGCGGTGCCAAGCAAAGGACTCGCGCCGCGAGTCGCCGTCCGTGCAAGCTCGTGAAAACAGCAACAGTAACAAATGCTCTGGTTTGGGGCATTTGTAAAGCCCCTTCATATTTCAAAAGTAGCGCAAGGTGCGTCGATGCACGAGGCACGTGGACGTGCAGCCCTTGGGAAGGTCATGGCGGCACAGCGCATCACTCAACTAGATTTCAGACGCCATGTTCTACCCAGAAGTGGCACACGGCACGAGTCTCAAACATTCCCACATCAATGAATGGCGCCACTTTTCCCAGGATAGAGGGGCGTTAGGCATTTGGTGTTGGTGCCACCATCTCGTTGAACCCATCGAAAATTATTCTAGTGAAAACTGCCATGTCAAATTTATTTAAACAAATACGCATACCCAAGACATTCAGTCTTCCCTTCAGGGTCTTATAATCAAGATAGGAGACATCTCTAGTAGACACTACCATTCGTTTTGTTACTTTTAGTTTCTAAGTAATTTTTATTTTAAAGGGGCTGCACGACGCTATTAGGTAGGAAAGTTTCTCACTTTACACCAGCTTAATGGTACTAGTAGGGAAGATACTCCTCTTAGTACTCCCCTCTCCTAAGCTGCGAGGGGAGCCAAGTTGGGGCAAGGTAAAAAGTGAAGAGGATATAGGAAAGGAGGAGGAGGGGCAAAAGTGGAAAGTGGGAAGTGTACGTCGGCTTTTAAGTAAACAGGGAGATGTTAGCCTTAATCAACGCTTAGGGTAACTACGCCGTGTGTGGATGCTATTTTCAGGGGACCGAGTAACACGAGCATATTAAAAGGAGCCCTTTCGCGGAGAGACTTTACTTTCTACAGCACAGAACGGCCGGTAGGCATTCTCACGGTTGTTTTTTCACTGCTGTTTCCACCTCGTTAAACATTTTGCTTCTCGTTGATTCCGGTGATGCAACAAACTCCAGTCACCGTCGCCTTCCGCGTTCTCCTCCTTCCTTTGCCCTTCGGTCAGCTTTTCTCGTTCGCGGCTATCAGACACACCAAAAAGATATGACGTCGACGGACGCGATACTCCCACTTCTCTCGAGCTGAACGGCCGCGCGATCACTCCCGAGGACGCCGCCCGACCGGGCAAGGTTTCCCGTAAAGGCGACATTCGCGGTTCGGCGTATCCGGCCGCCCGCACCGTAAGAGCTTCGGAAAGTCTCCGCTATACCAACAATGGAACTGGCCGGGAAGCGCTCCGGGCGCACCAGCGAGCGTCCGTCTCGGCCGCGGTGTCGGACGGCGCGTCCGATCCGCTTCCCTGTCTCAATTAGACGCGCTCGGCTTCATCGGCAGGCGCCGAGAGGCGCGCGTGGTCCATCTCATTTGGCTGCACTTTGGGAAAACGCGCGCGCGGGACAACGGGAGGAAAAAATGGGTGCCACCGAAGCGCAAGGATACAAGATAGCCTCGGCGCGAAGGCGCCCGGGAATCCAGGGCGACGGACGGCTGTGGGCAGTGCGTCCACGCGTAATGAACGGCGGCCGATAAGCCCGTATTTTTACTCCTCCCGGGAGGACAAAAAACGAGACGCCGCCAGCAGCGGCGACTCCTCCCCGTCGGACTTCCGTGTAAAAAGTGGCTCCCGGGACACGGGGAAACGGACCGACGACTCGCCCGGCGCGTTTGTTGTGCCTGTTTGCTTGGAGCGGTTCCGGATCGGCCAATTTCCCCAAGACTGGGTCATCCGCAGCTTCACTCGCTGCGTCGATCCCTGTATAAAAGCGAGACCGCCGAGAAGGTGTGGTCGCATTTGGGATTTGACTCTCCGCAAGGTCCCGGGATACCGAGATGAACGCTCACGTGAGTGGAGACCGCGCGGGCCTCCGACGGGAAACCCCGAGCCGCAGTCGCCTCGCCGGACGGACCGTTAATCGCTGACCCGTTAACTGTCCACCGGTGAACGCCTGACGGCTCGGCTCTCCTTCCGGAGAGGAGCGGCCCACGCGTCCCGTCGCTTCCGAGGAATCCCGGCACAACCCCGGGATCGTCTTTCTTCTCGATCTGTCCTCGCCTAAGAGACTGCGTGCGTGGCGTCGTACGGGTGTCTGGCCTTCGCAATCTGCCGCCACTCGTGTATAGATCTTCGAAAGGATATCCTCCCGTGGTGCCGAGAAAGGAGGTGTTTGCAGATTCACTGTGACTGCTTTCGGAGTTTACGTTAGTTGGCACACTCCTTACATTGTCTGCCATTCATTCTTGATCTCTCGATAGATCCTGTGCGCAGTTTTGAATTGAACGAGGTTGTTAGAAGTCAGTTTTGTAGGCTCATTCACGGGTTCGGAAAGGCAATGTGGTTTGCGTCGTTCGTGCTGTCTGTGGGCGCAGAAACAGAACACTATCGTAAAATTAGATCATTGTTCAATGCTATTTGCCTATGCATCCACACTGTATTTCTCCACAAGCTGATTTTGTCCTAAAGTGATCGCCAACCCCGGGGTCAAGGTGGCTGCCACAGAAAACAAAACTTGGAGGACGCTTAAGCCTCGCCTTTAAGAGTGGAACGCGATAGCGTTATCGGGCCCCGTTCGCATCGCCTTCTCATTCGTCGGGCAAGCGTATCTTAAGTGGCCTAGTCAGTAGCGTTAGCGTTCTGGCTCGCAACCAAAGGGTCGTGGGTTCGAATCCCGCCAAACATTCTTCACAATTTTCTTTAAGGCAAATGAATTACTTTATGAGGTGAAATTATTTTAGACATGGCGGCGACCTTTAATTCGCATTACATGTCATGTTGAATCACTTTCACCCAACACGTGACGTCACGTTTCCCGTGAGGTTGTGGGTTGCTTGAAATTCTCGCGCGAGGCTATGTGGATGTGACGTCATGACCCAATCGCCCAATCAGGGTTTTCCCGTCACGCCACCGAAGCCGGCTTTTCTGCGACACGGGCTCCTTGACGCTATCACTTTAAAAGTCTGCTGACCTCCATCTTATCACTTGCAGTCAACGTCGTTAGCTCTATATTGAGGATCTGTTCGGGAACCCTAACGTTTTACTTACCTAAGGAGCAGTTTCATGTCCATAGACTTCATTGCGTAAAGCTTGAGTACTGTAAGAAAAAAAATCCTCCCACTCTTTCTTCCTCCCTTCTAGCTTCACTATGCACCATGGTCCAATGTGCATTCGTGTAATAATCGCTATATGATACAACAAGAGCAACAAGAATAATAATATTATTAATAATAATAATAATAATAATAGGGAAGGTTGGGGGGGGGAGCTGAAAAATCAGCCTGACGTGCTTCCTCCTTTAAATAAATTAATAAACCCTGGTTAGCCGTCGCATCCCATTGGCCAAATTGTTTACCTACAGCATTTTAACACTATCGCCAGATCTCAGAGGCAGGTACAGATATCGCCTTATAAAAATTCACGGCGTTCCATTTGCGTTTTTCTTTGTTCATTGAGAGGTACGTGCACGTGTACAATGAGCGACATAGTTCACCCAAACTTGACCTTTGTGTTGTTTGTTCTTTTTTTTTTTTTTGCTTAGATAGGGCATTCATGAACATCAATATTTATTGTCTGGCTTGGTGCCCATGATTAGCATACTTCACAACAGCAGTAGTTTTGATGACAGCCTTTCAGATGCAAAATAAAAGCGGGAACAATCGGCCATTAATTACTCTTTCGTCGTGCTAGCTATGTCGTGCTCTTTGATGGAGCCTTGGATCCGAAGCTGCTTGGATGCCCAATCTGCACGAAACTACAACAAACACGGGAGTTTTTCAGAACTTGAGGGCGCGTTGACTTTGGGGAACAGCAAACCCCTTGCCGCTTGAAGGAGCGCTACCTTCCCAAATGCAAGAGATACTTCATGCTTCGGTTTCTTTTCGGGATCGGACGCGTGGAAAATGTCTTACGGTGCACGGTTCGCTCGCAGGTACTCGTGCTCGCAGCCGTCGCCTCGTGCGCCGTAGCCGGTGGTTACGGCGGCGGCGTTGGCGGAGCTGTAGGAGCTGGAGTCGTCGCCGGCGGGGCTGGAGTCGCGCTCGCCGGAGGTCACGGAGGCGGTGGTGGATACGGAGGTGGGGGCTACGGCGGAGGCATCGGCCTCGGTGGCGGACTCGTCGGAGGCGGCGGACTCGTCGGAGGCCACGGCCACGGAGCAGTCGTCGGCCACGTCAAGGTGGCCCCCGTCAAGACCGTCTCGTACGTAAAGAAACCCGTCGTGAGCGTGAGCTACGTCACCAAGCCCGTCGTGAGCTACGTCAAGCAGCCCGTGGCCACCGTGTCCCATACCGTCCAACCCGTCGTATCCGTGAGTCACGCTGTCGTCAGCACCGGAGGGGCTGGCGTCGGAGGAGGTTTCGGAGGTGGACTCGGAGGGGGACTCGGCGGTGGACTCGGAGGCGGACTCGGACTCGGGGGCGGCTTTGGCGGTCTCCATGGTGGATACGGTGGTTACGGAGGTTACGGAGGCGGCTACGGGGGTGGGTATGGAGGTGGCTACGGAGGAGGCTACGGAGGCGGCTACGGTGGAGGCTACGGAGGCGGTCTTCACTACGGGGGAGGGCTCGGTTACGGCGGCGGCCTCGGCTACGGTGGCGGACTCGGCTATGGAGGCCACGGCTACGGAGGCGGATACGGGGGAGGCCTCGGTTACGGTGGAGGTCTTGGATACAGAGGTGGTCTCGGGGGTGTCGCGCTCAAGGGTGGGCTCGTTGGAGGAAGCTTGGGAGGCTACGGCGGCGGATACGGTGGAGGTCATGGCTATGGAGGGGGTCTTGGCTACGGAGGAGGTCTTGGCGGCGTCGCTCTCAAGGGCGGAGTGGCGACAGTTGGTCTGGGCGTCGGCCTGAAGGGAGGCTTGGGCGGAGTCGGAGTCGGACACGGCGTCTCCCTGGTCGGTGGTTACGGCGGTGGATACGGAGGACTCGGAGGTGGTGGTCTGGCAGTCGGAGGGGGCTACGGAGGAGGCCACGGGTGGTGATACATCCTGTCCTCCTTTCGCCGCCATACGTCACACTAGTGAGTGATTCATGTGCAAGAATTGTTTTTTGGTGGCATACGTCTTACTGGGCTATGCCGGGGTCACACTGCTTATACATCATACAAAAGACAGTCTGCAAACAGCTTCGAACGCGAGTCACCCCGAGATCCGTGCTTCGAATGCCGCGTGGCAATGAGTTCAAGGAGAAAACTTGGGCACGCGGCATTCGAATCTCGGATATTGCGGTGACTCGTGTTTGCAGACTGTCTTTTGAATGATGTATGAGCAGCGTGACCCCGGCTTTAGGTGTGTCGTATATGAAACTTTATTGTGTGTATGTTTGTTGTGTATGTTTGTAACCCTACGAAGACATAGTTGGTGACCTCTGTTAAGTCTTTCCTAACCTTTGTTTGCAGCTTCACCCTTTTTGCCACGAGGTGTCCTTTTTTGATTCTTCAATCACAAACACGTGTTCGCACTTGCTTTCGCAATTCTGGGTCACTTGTGTCGATATCGCTGAACTAGTCAACGTAAACTGTATTCATGAGAACGGCCTATCTCAGTGTTCTTGTTCTTTCCGTGCTACTGCACGATGGTCTTCAAGCCATTTCCTCTCCCCGTTTAGTAGGAAAGCAACGCGAGCCAAAGTCTTCTGTGTACTAATAATTTCCTGCTACCATGTAAGAGTAGCGAAAAAGTGAGCGCGTTTTTGAAACTCCCCCCCCCCCCCCCCCCCCCCTCTCTTCCTCGCCAGGTCTGCCGGGAGAACAAAGGCGTCGGGAACGATCGCACTCCCTGCTGGCGAGGTCCCGCGCTGCATCTGTACAGAAACGGGGGTCAGTCCCCAAAAAAGAAAAATCAGTGTTGTCTCTGCAACTGTCTCCTCTATGCCCCGCTGTTTCCAAACAAGCCTGCCTTGGCCACACCAGATCACTGCGCCTGCTCAGATTCCCTTGTCTGCGCATGCGCCGTTCCGAGAGCACCGCAGCCGCCTGACTTCAGTGTTTTCATTGGGAGGAGCAATAAATGACAGCGCACTGCACTTCTCTGCCTGCTCACAACTTCTTTTGTTCGTGGCCGCTGCGTTCGAAACTTAGCAATGCGATAAAAATTCATTTTGTTTTAAGAGCGCATCTCTTAGGCGCTCGTTCCCGTGTTTTGCGGCGTCGGCGTCACCGTCGGCATAACCGGAGGAGGAGGAGAGGGTACGCAAGAGGAGGATGGGAAGGTACGGAGGAGGAGGGCGAAAGAGGAGGTGGGGAGGGTATGAAGGAGGGGAGGGTACGGAGGAGGAGGAAGGTCCTCCGTACCCTCCCCCTCCTCCTCCTTACATAAATAATATTATAATGAATAAGTTATATATATATATATATATATATATATATATATATATATATTATAACTAGACATACTCTGGTATTTACATACTTACATATTTACATTTCCCCCCGAAGGAGAAGGATCACACTTATTAAGGTTCCTGTTGTCGTGTTTATTTTCTACTGTACATGTGTTTCTATAAATATTTAGTTTTTTTTTTTTTTTTTTTTTTTCTGGGGGGGGGGGGGGGAATTAAAACGTATGAAGTTGTGTCTTCAAACCGACACTAAATATTTAGTCATTTACATCAGCATTCTTTTTTTTCGTGCGTTGTTGGTTGGTGTTGATTGGTCTTGAGGTGCTGTAAAAAAAGTTGGGGCTCCAATTCACGCTGTGTAGGTGGTTGGTCTGCGAAGCTTTGGTGTCCCCTGCAACCATTGCCTACTGCACTATACGAAATGCCACCGCCGGTCGCAGCACGCCGTCGCTGGTCGTATTGCTGTTTCGTTTTCCCTTTGCCGCTCTGTAGTATTCACGCTGCTCCTCGGGAGTCCTAACTATGCGTGGCCTACTGATCGCGGTGCTGCAGCAACAATCAAATCAGTTGCTATACTCCGTCTAAACTTACGTTTAAGCGCAGCGGATGTTACGAGCCATCGGAGCCAATTGGAGGCCGTGTCAGTGTCGCGTGACCTTAGAGAGGGGGCACAATGACGCGCGGAGAGCGATTCACGGGCCACGTCCACAGAATGGGGTTGGCTAAGATAGCTCGTAGCGTCCGCTGCGTCCGGACGTAAGGTGAAACGGGCTATTAGACGGGTTCTTCTTTTATATATAAAAGGCTAGTAACGTCACTCCCCACGTCGCAAGCTGCCGTTGTGGCGGCAGCTTGGGCAACAGTAATCTTCACCGGAAACGTATGCGGTGAGCGCTACGTGCTTCGCATTGTTTTTAGGAGCTCCTTATCATACATTATATGGTTAGGATGCTTGTTTTGTGCTTATTCTTTATTAAAACGAATGCTGTGCTGTATGTTGTATGCGTGTTGTTTGTACTTTTCGCTTCAATCTTATAAAATCTTTTTTTTTTTTTTTTCGTGAGAACGCCGACACGAAAACACACGCGGGGAGAAGGAACGTGCTTCGCATCGTTCGCAGGCGCCGTTATCATTCATTATGTGGTTTGCACTTCTCACGAGGGCTTCGAATGACGTCAACCCTTTCGAAGCAGCTGCAAACCTAATCTTTACCGGAACGCGTGGGAGGGTGTTTCTATTGTTCACATGCGCCTTATCATCGATCATGCGGTTTTGATGCTTGTTTTGTGGTTTTATTTATTGAAACAGATACTGAGCTGTTTGCTGTATGCCTGATTTCAAAATGAGATATGCTGTTTTGCCTGCAATTGTTTGTCCTGGAGTTGTTTTGCTTACAACGCCAACGAAACGAAAATTTCCCTGGCTGGCAGAGTTATACAGCTTCCCTGTAATAAAGAACGAACGAACGTCGAGGCAGCAGAAAAGCGCGCGACAATTTGGCGACGTAGCAGCAAGCGAGCGCGAGAGTGACTCGACAATGTGACGCGCAGCTCCTTATCTAGTGCGAGTCGACCTCTCGAATATTCGGCCGAGAAGGTTCGTGCGTCGAGCGTTCGGGGTGAGAATTAACAGGAACTTTCGAGAACAAGAAAGTAGGATGAAATATAAAAGCTACATCCCGAATAAAAATACACACGAATCTTGTAGAGGTCCGTGAGCGAGCGTTGCTTGCTCGGTCACGGTGTAACACGAAAGGAATACAAAAATGGCTAATAAAAAAAATACGGTGAGACGAAATAAACAAGCAGCGTCACAGTCCTAACGCGCGTAGAACGGCTTGAGCCGAACGACGTGGACCACTTCGGTTCGTGGATGACGGCGTCCTGATGGTCGGGTTCCGTTGGAGAACACCTCGTAGTTCAAGTCCCCAAGGCTGCGAATGACCTTGTGAGGTCCGAAATAGCGTTTTAACAGTTTCTCGCTGGGGCCGCGGCGGTGAATGGGCGTTCACACCCACACCCCGTCCCCGGGCAGGAACTGCACATCGCGGCGACGAAGATTGTACCGGCCAGCGTCGACACGTTGTTGGTACTTTATCTGAAAACGGGCTACCTCGCGTACCTCTCCTGCCCGTTGGGTGACCAGCTGGGCGTCGTCGGTGCCGTCGTTCGTCGGGTCGTGGGACAGCATGGCGTCGATCATGGTCGTCACCCTTCTGCCGTGCACCAGCTGAAACGGTGTAATCCCAATGTTTTTTTTTGAACCGCCGTGTTGTACGCAAACGTGACCTAGGGCAACACCTCATCCCAGGTCATATGTGTTCCACGTCTACTTACATCGAGATCATGTCGGCGATGGTCTTGTTTAGTCGCTCCGTCAGCCCGTTGGTCTGCCCGTGGTATGCCGTAGTTCGACGGTGGTCGGTGTGGCTCAGGCGGAGTATCTCTTCGATCAGTTGCGCCATGAAAGATGAGCCTCGGCCCGTAATCAGGACGTGAGGAGCGCCGAGTCGGACGACGATGGACTCGACAAAAAACTTAGCTACTTCCACAGCGGTTCCCGACGGGAGTGCTTTTATTTCGACGTATGTACCGGGTGAGATAATCAGTTGCCACGATTACCCAACGGTTTGTCTGCGTCAAAGGCGGGAAAGGTCCAAGTTGATCCATTCCAATCTGCTGGAACGGTGCAGTCGGGGGGCGCGATCGGCGGCAGGAGGCCTGCGGGCTTCGTCGACGGTTTCTACCATCGCTGGCACTCGTGGCTCGATCGTGTGTAGAGCTGGACAGTCTTCGGGAGCTTGGGCCAGTAGTACTTCTCTCGCACCCTTGCGACAATCCTGCTGTATAGCCGAGGTGACCAGGGGGGCTATGTTCGGCAAATGTTTCGTTTCTCCTAAAAAGAAACGGAAGTGATGGAGGTAACGATATTGCGTCTGATTTGCTAGAAGCTCAAATGACTAAAGAGGGAACTTTCGTCATTTGAGCATCAAACCAATCAGACGCAATATTGTCACTTCCGTCACTTCCGTTTCTTTTTAGGAGAAACGAAACATTTGCCGAACATAGCCCCCCAGATGTCGGGTCGTCGTGGCAGGTTTGGAAGATCTCTTCTCGAAGACTAGTGGGGATTACCAGGAGCGATGTCGAGTTGCTGTTCCCAAAGTTTTCCTCGTAGAAAATACCTTGCCGTACGACGAATGTTGGTAGAACACGTGAAAAGGCTCGAGGAATCGCTCCCCCTCGTTCCTCCAAGTGCTCGATCAGTGCGCCCAGTTCAGGGCCGGTCGTCCCGTTGGAGCGCTTCCATGCTGGTAACGCTTAAGTTTCACTACGCTGCCGCAATGCGTCGAGGGAATTCTGGCTTTTCTGCACGCGTTGTTTCTGGTGCTCTACACGGTGCGCCTTAAGGCAATAAGCAGAGGCGTCGCTCGGCGTCTGAAACCAGGAGTGTTTTTCTTTACATGTGTTGTAATAAGGGTTTCGTGTTTTCTACGTTTTTTTTTTGTTTTTTTTTTTTTTTTGATGGGGGAGGGTCTTTTTATGCAGATTCGGCTTTTTTGTGTAAATTGGTTATAACTAGGGTTCCGTGTTTTTGGAGTTCATTTTTCGTCAAATTCGGAGGGCGTTTTTTAGAGTTTATT